TGAAATGTGGTTGTGTGCTTGTGGGGGGGGGGGGGGGGGGTTTGTCATGGGATTTTGCCTTTTTTTTTTTTTTGTAAGTTTTCATTTTCACTGTGTGATGATATGTTTTCATCTTATTTTTGGAGCTCTAATTTCGATTTTTGGATCATTTATTTGTCATATTATTGTAATGTCAGCCTATCCCACCCACAATTTGGAGTGTTCCATGAACTTTTTGGAGCGCGACAGGAAACCGCAGTACCCGGAGAAAAGCCACGCAGGTACGGGGCGAAAATGCAAACACCACACGGGAAGGCCGCAGCTCGGATTCGGATTTCTCAACATGATGGTCCATTCGCTTTGTGATTTTTCATGAGCTAAAGGACGCAAGTGTATCTGATTGGATTTTTTTTTTCTCCCCCTCACCTTGAGCTGCGCGAGCTGACGGAGGACCTCGCTGGTGTCGGGGCAATGTCGGTGGGCCAGGTCGGCGCTGAGGCGGCGCATCTTCTTGGTCAGGTGTTCCACGTTGCGCCTGAGCTGCTCCCGCCTGGCCCGGTCGGGCACGGCCTTCAGCAGGGTGGCGTTGTGCAGGATGCTCTCCAAGATGTGCACGTAGACATGCAACGTGGCCTTGGTCAGCTTGACCTCCTCTCGGTTCTGCGGGGGGAGCGCAGCAAAGGTGTCAGCGCCACCCGATGGCCCGGGGTTCGCTTCCCCGGTGCAAGCGCTCGCCGCGTTGACGTTCTTACCTGACACGCTTTGATGCTCCTGATGACGCCGTTGAAGGGAGGGTGAGTGCTGATGTTCACGCTCTTCAGATCCTGAAACGAATAAACACACAACCTGAAACACGCACACACACCAAAAAATAAAAAATAAAAAAAAGTGGGAACATGCTGAAAGACACGGGTCACGTCAACAACAGCCTGAGACAGACGGCCCAAAATGCTGAAATGCACTCAGTTTGCCCACATGCCGAAGAACACCAGAAATCATGATGGCAAAGCACGACCAACATATCGACAAACCGAAACACACATGACAGACACTACAAGGCTGACACACGCAAAAAGGAAGCATCTCAAAGATGCCCATGAACATGCATGCTGAAAGACACACGTGAGCATTCTGAAACAAACACACGCATCATATGCTAAAAAATAAATAAATAAATAAATAAATAAAATCCATCAATCAATAGATTTGTCCGCTTCCTCATTTCGGACTTTCTTTCCATTGTTCTATGAATCGGTGACGGCCGTCCAGGTGGCAAAGCGGCGGCGTGGCCCCATCCCATCGCACTACGACCTCCATCTAATTCCTTTTCGTAGCATACTGTGAACGGGCTGAGACACATGGCGTCAAGCAGGAAAACACACAACATGCTCAAGTGAGCATGGAAGCTGAAAGAGAAGATGTGAAACGATGCGAACCCGCAGGTGGGCTGCCAAAACACGCCAACGCATGCTGACGGACACAACGCGTTCACATGCTGAAAAATCCCCCAAAAGTTGAAGGTGAAGACGGAGTGGCTCGTAGCACGATCCCTGCGGGACGCCGTCAGCTCACCACATCTTTGGCGATGTCCTCCAGGATTTTCCTGAGTTCGGGATGCGGGTCCATGTGAGCGGCCTGCGCCACCAGAGCGCCCAGAAGCAGCAGCAGACACGAGCGGATCGGCGGGGACATGGCGGCGAGAGGAGTGACCAAAGACGAGAGACGGTGCTGCCTGACGAGACACAAATGATGAGCGCTGAGAGACGGCGACGCTTTTTCAGGTCAATTCGCTGAGCGCCGCTCGCATCTTTTATACGCATCTTTTGCTTCATTGTGGTCTGTGGCCACTCGGCAGCAAACACCAGAATCTTCCTCTGAAACATGCTGCTGCTCAGAAACACGCACGCACATGCGTGCGTGTGCGCACACACACACACAGTAGGGCCTTCCCTGATGGCATTTCCACTCACCTCCATCTTGGCGAGGACGCTCCAGGGTCACTGCGGTTGTCGTCGGTTTTCGCAGAAGCCTCAGGGCCACGATGACGTGTGCCTGTCTGCGGCCTCGGTTCCTAGATGAGTATGCGTGCTTCCAAAAGTTTGCTCGAGCCCCCCCAGGACCCGTCGGGGGATGGGGGGGGGGGGACACACATACACACTCTGTGACAGTAACGATCCACTGACATGCGTGTGTGTTGTGTGTGTATACGTGTGTAGATGCATGCTCGCGTATCTTTTTGTGTGTCTAGATGCGTGGATGTGATCCAAATCCAAGCAAAGTTGTGCTAAATCGCTAATTTGGCCGTGAGTTGTGTGCGTGCGTGTGCGTGCACGCGCACAGGTGCTCAAGGCTAAGGAGGCCGCAAGGCGGACGGCTGAGCCACTTTCGGTGGCCGCAACGCCAACTTTGTTTCCACTGAGGGTCTGCAAAAGTCCGCATGATTCACTTGTTCTTTGAACGGGGCTTCTCTTCACTCGATCGCCTTTTGCTTTTCTTTCCACTGGGGTCACCTCTTTGTCGTTTGGTGAATGACGCACCCCGGGCGGGGTTGGCCAAGCGCGAAACTCTTTGGGCACCGATGAGCGCCAAGGGCGACCCGGATTATTCGCTTACTGGGCGAGCGCCGCCGCCGTCTCTCCTGATGCGCGTCGTTTGGGGATTGTCTTCTAGGACGTGGAATGAGCCCAAAGTGGCCAAGAACACGCCCCCCCCAATGGATGTCAGGTTTGAATGTGATCAGGGTTGGCTTGGGCTCGGCGTGAGTCTTTTCGATCCGAGTGAGAAGCGACGTGGCTACTTCGCACCACCACAACAACAACAACGACGAGAAGGGAGGGGAAGAAGAAGCACAAGAAAACGAGGCCAAATCCTTTGGGAGTCCAAACGAAAGCGCGCAGGAGGACGTCCGAACAATCGTGCGCAGACGGCAAACGGATCCAATCTATCCGCCGCTCGTCAAAACGCCGACGCGCACGTGTGCCGCGACCTTGTTCGGCTTGAGCGTCGTGGCGGCCGCCGAGCGCCAGAGGGCGACGCTGCCGGCGCACAACCTTCGTCTGAGCGTGTGGCCCGCCCGCATGCTGCCCGCATGATGCCCGCTCCAAATCGCCGCGCGAGTGCTCGCTCTGGTTTGGATCCGCTTCGGCTGCGGAAGGTCCCGACGGGAAGGAGGAAGGAGAAAGCGGAAGCGGAAGAGGAAGAGGACGAGGAGCAGGAGCAGGAGCGCCTCCTGAGGAAGAGCCTCCGGCCGGCGCCTCGTCAGCGTACAAGGTGACCGCGGCGACGGCACCTTCCTCGTCCCTCCGCTCCGCAGCTCAGTCGCACGGGGGCGTCCCTCCCTTCCACTGACCGTTGATGAAGGCCTGCCAGGTAACAGGACGCCCACCTGCGATCACCTGGACGACGACGACGACGAACTCTCCAATTTCACGTACACGCGTGCACAAATGCGGGGCGGAGAGTTTGCCGTCACTTCCCGCTGTGGCAAATTCCCGGGAAGAAATCACCCGGCGGGAGGGGCCCGGTGCGCCAAGTGTCACGCCCTTTGCGCGCGAGCAGTGTAAAAAAAAATGTGCACCAAACACACGACTGCCACACGCGCCCTTTAATGTAGCAAGCACCCCCCCCCCCAGTTTACCTGACAAATGACAAGTGGTCTTTTTTTTATTGTTGGAAGGAGAAAAGTTTATTGGACGTCTCAGCACTGTAACACCCATGTCTCCGTGGTAACAGCCGTATAAATAGTAAGTCAACCATTAAATAAGCCAATAAATAAAGCAGTTGTAGTCGCAGTAGTAGTCGTAGTTGCGGTTTGTGCGCGTCAGCGGGTGGTGCTGACGCAGTTGTCGTGCAGGTACGTGAAGAGAATGTTCACCTCGCTCAGTGCCTTGTTCAGGCCGCGCCCGTTGTCCATCTACAAAACACACAACCAAAGAAACTTTCTCAAGTGGTCATCATTTCTTCCATCGCCACCGTGTGTGCACGTGTGTGTGTGTGCACGCGCCCACGTGGCCTGCACTAAATTCAAAACTTTGCTGGGCAGTTTTAGAATGTCTGAAGCGAATGCTCCACTGTGAGCTGCGTGCAGGTCCGCTTCCCCTTTGGCTTTGGCGCGAGTGTACAATGGGCAAAGGTGCTGCGAAAACTGT